TTTAGGTAAAAATAGCGTTGAAGCAACGAATTTTGCCTTGTTTCAAGACTACCATTTTCTGGGCGCGCATGGAAACAACAAAAAAGCGCCTGGAAAACCCAAACAGTTTGTTTGCCGTGTTTATTTTTGAATTTTTCCTGCTGTTTTTAAAATTGTTTTCCTGAAGTTTTAAGACAAGTATCTAAGAAAGCGTCTGACACACTTTGTGCAGTATCAATTAATGCGTATCTTGCACAACACTGCAAGTAGGTTCGCAAAAGTAGACAATTTTCAGTAGTGGGCTGAGAGTAAACGTGAATTTTGAGATGAGAAACGCGATACTCACTTTTCTTTCTGGAACTTGAGGCTGTGCACCACCTCCGGCCTCTTCTGACGGAAGTTCCACAGATGTATGGAGTCGTCGGCGGTGGCGGAGAGCAGCGCGCCCTCGTTGACGAGGAACTGGAGCTGGATCACTGCGGCGTCCGTCTCGTGGCGCATGGAGGAATCCACGCCGGGTCGGCCCACGCTGGCAGGAGGGTTAAGGAAAGCAACAACTACAGAGAGAGTTTAAGAGAACTACGGCCCGCTGGATGCTAGTGCTGCTTAAGCAAACTACTACAGTAAGCAACTTTTGTAGCCCGATTGTTTTGTAGTGCAAATGTAGGACCCCCAGAGCCTCCGATACTATACACCTTGACCAATGTGCTTGTGAACGTTAATCAATGAGGGAGCATACGAACCCACAGAAGAAGCATTCGACATCCCCAACAACCATACCATTCCAAACCACCACACAGAAAGATATTGTTACGAGCAGGTCCCGAAAGTAGCGAGGTTTATCCAGTTATTACATTTGAAACGTATTAAAAAGATGACTTGATGTTGAATCATGGAAGCAGGTCCATTTCCGTCTGATCTACGCTCACCCAAGTCGCAGCCATGACTGCCCCAGCTGGCCTATGCACCTGGTGGAAAGAGAAGAAAACAATGTTAGAGCCCAGGACAGGCTGGTGTCGAGCAGCAGAACTAATCTAGAGCAGCCAATGCAAAAGTCTTGTGACGCCTGATAGGTAGGCAAGACCTTGCACCGTCTTGCCTGTTGTGCTTGCGTGAACTGCGGGTTGGTCTCCTGTGTCTCGCAGGCGTCGAGCTCACGTAAATTGCCGAATGATTGAACGAATGTGAGAAATAGGTGTACATTTAAGACAAGTATTGCTCCCACTGCAGTAGTGTCATCGTCGTCGAACTTACACGGACCAGGTAAACACTCTAATTTTCTTACGGACTCACTTACGGCGAATACGGATATGAAATTGTCCATAATTTGAATAAGTCGATCCGTATTTCAATCAAACATACCTTCATCCGTAAGGAATAGACGAAAATATGTTGTTGAGCCTTAGCTTACAAATCAAGCCATGCGTTTGTTTTACGGATGTAATTATCCATAATACGGACAATTTTATCCGCACTGCGGATGATTTGTGATCAGCATTACGCTTGCAAGCAAGAATCGTAAAATCACATGATAAAAATTTGAGACCCGTGTCTAGTTTAATTTTGTCTAAGCCAATGAAACATCAAACCAATTAGCTCTTTTCAGTGTATAGTCTTATAGAGTAGTTTTTGCTTTACTTAATGTATCGTCTGCTAAAATGTCTTCGTAAGCGAATTCGTAAGGAGATGAGAGTGTGGCGAGCAGAGTGTGTGAAGAGCATCTGAGCCGACTCGTCGAGGAGGTGGCCGCCCGCCTATCCGCTGATATTTGGTCACATTTTCTAAACGTGCCGGGGCGTGCCGGGACGGGCGCCTCTCTTGGTGGGGAGATGGGGGTTGCCACCAACCCCTTTCCGTGCGACAAATGAAACGCACCTCTCCCTCCTCCTCCTCCCCACCGCTATGCTCCGCTTACCATCCCGACCCCCAGCACGTCCCGCTCCAGGGGTTCCAGCAGCGCGCTCCCGCGGTGAGGCGGCAGCGTCGGTGCTACTACCAACTCCGCGCTATCTAAATGCGTGAGGGGTGGGGAGAGAGTGTAGAGCTTTCACAGCAAGCTAGAGCACGCCACGGATTTCCCGGATCGCTTGACACTTGTGGGATATTTTCGGCTTGCTGCGTCTGCAGCCTTCTGATTGGCCGACATTATCTCTTCAAAAACCTCGACTTTGTTTGCTTTGTTCGGAAGTACCATCGAAACTGTCGGCCCACAGGGCAATTCTAGGAAAAATGGTAAAAAATGTCCGTACGTTACGCGATTTGTGAGCGACTGAGAGTTGGTACGTTGTTGGTTGTTTTGCAATACATGTCCGGATTCGCCATCTCAAGACGCGTCCAGTCATGTTTTGTACAAAACTGTAGCACCTCTCAGTCGCTTACAAATCGTGTTACGTACGGACACCCCTTTCTGGAATTGCCCCACTCTAGCGACCGTCAAATTCTATAACACTTGAATACTAGGTCACAGTTAAACAATAGCTGTCGATTTTACGATCGTTTCTGTAGAACACTCCTGACTTATTCCGGACTGTATATAGTCACGGCCTGCGCAGTGTGCCGCATCACACGTTGTCTCGCAGTGTACCATGCGCGCGCGGAGCGACAGCTGGCCTGTATAAAACGCTCGCAGAGAGTGTATGACTTTTTATGCGCCGAGTCGAGGACGGCGGTGTCGGACTGTAAAGGTTGCAGAAAACTGGCATCGGCATCCCCTGGCGTAGCGGGTGGGAAAAGGGGAAAAAGGAGGGGGGCTGCTGCAGGCGGCACAGGTTTACAGCACTCGCAACCTGCTGGCTCGAAGGTGCTGGACCCAGGCCCCACCTACATACCTCTAACGACTTCAACAAACTCCATAGCTTTGAAATTTGCGGACCAGCCCGCAAATGACAACCCGAAATGGGATAGACAGCCAACTGCCGTTTACGTACGGCCACCTATCCGAAGGGTGGGCGAAGGGCGATGCGGTGGAAGGCAGTGAACATCGATGCGTATGGTAGCGGCCTCGGCCGACCAGCGGGGTGGAGCACCAGGGAGCAGAAGGGGGCAGGGCTGGTCTGTATCATGGGCTGCTGTCCGTTTGGATGTGCGGGGCCGTAGAATAGCGAGAGAGGGTAGAGCCTCCCAGCCTCCCCCAGGCTCCCCGAGAGCGCACATGAAAGAGGGAGGGGAAGGCGCGGCCCAGCCCAGTCCACGAGCAGCGTGATATGACTAAGCTATACTGCTGCAGGCTGCTACAAGAGAGCGTGTCTTACCAACGCGAAACACTCTGTTACACTGTCAAAAATAAATTAAGACAAGAAAATTAGTCGTGTTAAATATTCCCGGGCTCTCGGAGAGGATTGTAAACTTTCCGCTAACAATAGGCAAAAACAGGAGTAGGGAGAGGAAGGGTGTGCCCCGTGTCGGAGAGGGGAGGAACGGCTGCTGCCAACATGGAGAGAGCAAAGTCGGCCGCATTAGCTTTCGTAGTCGGCCCCAGAGAAGGTTATGTCGGCGGGGGTACAACTCTAGGAAGCTGCGAGTACAACGCAGTGTCGCGAGCCACCGCCTCAGCGGCGCCGTGCGCTTTAAGCACTAGGAGGAAGGGGAAGGGGGATATAGGAGGTAATTCGGGGCGGAGAGGAAGATGACTATCGGAATCCGATATGGGTGCTCCCTCGCAGTCCGCCTCGCCAGCGAGAGAGAGGAGAGGGATAGAGAGCCAGAGAGGGATTGGGGTGTGGCGGGGGTGGGGTAGAGGGCGAGAGGCAGATGTCCACGCTGCTGGCAATTCGAGTTCAAAACCTCAGACTGCAGGCACTGTGGCATTTTATCCCGACTTCACGAATTTGTATTAAAAAAAAACAAAACATATTGTCTAATAGGGTACTTAACTTGAACCAAAACGAATTTTAAAACGGAAATGTTCCTCTCTAAATTAAAATGTGTACATTACATGTATACTTTAAACAATGTGTACGTGCCTATGTATGTTTATAACAATGCGTACATACGAATGAACACACCGAAACTGTATAGGTATGTTTTTGTGCAAACGTTCGTGCTAAGTTGTAGCTATATTTTCCGTTTCAAAAAAAATTGTTAGCAAAAGAACACGATATCGTACAAAGTGTGCAAAAAAAATCCTGCTTAAATTTGTTCAAATTAAAGGTATAAATGCAGTAAGTGTGTCGTGTAAGGGGGAAATTCTTCACTTTACGAAGGTGCTGTAGACGCAACAGTGGAACAGTCCCACTGTTACAAAAGTAGCACAGAATGTCGAATGTCTAATCGTTTACAAGAGCAGAACGCAATAAAGGGACAAAAGTCCTACTGCTCGTAAGAGTGGGACTGCGAGGTAGCCTACTTGTACTTTAAAGGGCAACGTTCCTGTTCACATTCACCTCACACACAAAGTGTTCAATATAGACCGGATACATTTTGTAAAACTTCACAAAATTTGTCTAGCTTTGGGAACAATTTTGTGTACGGTTTGGATGTGCACAAAATCGTTTCCGTTTAAGGAAAAACAATGTTGAGCGTCACGCCAGGAGATCGAAGAGTCGTTGAGCGGTGTTCCCGCAGATCGCATCGGACAGTGTTGAGCGTCCCGCGCACGAGATCGGACAGTGTTCGTTGGGCGCGTCGAGAGAAGGGCTTAATATTGTCAATCTCTGAGAGAATACAAAAAATTGGCATTCAAAAAGGAACGGGGTTCAAGGTGGGAACGGCGTGGCGGTGTGTGCATGTGATGGCGTATTTGGAGAGGAGGCTTCAACGCACTCTCTAAAGCCTCTCTTTCCCCTAGGTCATTAAGTCCAGTGGAATGGAAAGCAAGCGAGACTCCGCTGGGGGCTTAGGACGAGCAACAGGCGAAGGGAAGGGAGGGACCTTGAGGGACGTCCCCATCCCCTCCTACCGCGGCGCGCCGCCACCACCACCTGTCTGGTTTGGCATTTCTCAATCACTTTTGCCACCAGAGAAGCCAGGCCCAAGCAGGACCCGGGCCAAAATTTCCATGACCGTCTAATTGGACCGAATGTATGTCTTTGGTGAAAAATCTATTCATTATATTGAGTGCATTTCGCACTTAAACCAAGAATCCATCCTTTCTTTGTGAGATATTCGATGAACGTCCTCTACATTTATTTTACCGTAAGTCTTTGTTTCTAGAGGTCGAGGAGAGCCTGCAACTGGCTCGGGACCGAGTTAGGGCCGCTGCGCGCTCCGCTCCGCTCAGGCCGGTGAGGGTGAGGTGGTGCCGGGAGGTGCGCTCAAACATTCCATGCGATTAACTCTGCTGCACAGAGAGAATACCACCCACCTAAATGAATGCCCTTAAGTCGTCTGCGCGCACTCATAATTTATTCCGCACTAGTCACGCTGGCCGCGCCGCGGCCGGGGTGGTGCAGCGTCGAGCCGCTCGCCTCCGGTCGAAAGGGAAAAACGTCGGGAAACATCATATGTGTCGACCTGTCGACACTGAGCGCTGTGGCTATGCATGCAGCAGTAGTCCAAGCATGTTCGACATGTCACTAGCTACGAGCGAAG